ACCTTCGTGGTGTCAGTTAGAGCTCTCTGGTACACAATGTAATTCTGTCCTTTTTCAAGTTCTTCATTCACATATATTTCAGTTTTTTCCCCATCGCCAACAGTAAATTTCCAAGGTTTTTCAAGCAGTGGGACATTTTTTATCTCAGCAGCAATGTAAAAGTTCACGTCGTCTTTCTTTGCATCATTGGCAGCCTTCAGCTGGGAATCATAATTGTCCGGAAGCTTTTCAACACCATCTACAACTTTCTGAACGATAACCTGATAAGCACTAAAAGATTGAAAACAATTCGCTAGACTCATGAAGGCAATTTATAAAGGCTTTAAGTGTATCATGATCTTGCCATCAGTGATTGGTTGCATACGACGGTCTTAAATCCTCGTGCTGGGGTTTATCCCGCTTTCACGGCATGGAGTGATCTATTCAACATTTTTTTCCCTTTGCAAATCACATTGTTAATGATAATTACCTTATTGGACCAAATTTTTGTTCAACAGGCCACAGTAAAATATCAACAGCTGTCTCGGAAATCTCAACATCGGTCATATTAAGTGGAACTGGAGCTTCAGGAGCTGGTAAGAATAATAAAAAAAACTTGTATCACAACAACATTTTCGCTCAAAAAAGGGTTCCTGTTCAATAAGAGCCTGCGTGTACAGTTGTATTATTACTAGTTCAGGTGACTCATTACACTGTTCAGAATCGAATAAAGTGAATTAATCAAATTCATCTCTTAAGGAGGAGACTTGATCAAAATGACGATTAGACATTATCAATTCGCTTAGGTTCGAAAGAACTGCATGGCATCACTAAGTTTCAGTCGCAAGGTAATAATTTTTTGGAAAGTCGTTGCATCTATAACTCGATGGCAGCTATTGCTACCACTGATTGACGTAGGTTTATAAAAACTATTTACTCGTGCCCATCAGTTGCTTAAGATTGGATGGCTTTTGAGAACTGGCCGCAATTAATTTTTACTGATAAATAAATATTGGGATAGGATTCAATCAGAATAAAAAAGCGTAAAAGGAAAAGCAAATACCGATTAAGCAAACATTTAGTAAACACTGATACCGAACGATGACAACCTATTTAGAAAAAAAAGCTTTCAAAATGTACCTGTTCGATAGCTGGTATAAGTATGATTTATGCCTCTTGCTCGCTTGCCAATAACCTAGTGCTGTACACTGTGCATATTTTTGGCATTGACTTAAGGTGCTGGGTAACAGTTTATATTTTCATTCGCATACTCACCTTTCATATCTGTTTCCACTGATAGCGTTTGGGAAATACTTTTGCCACAGACAGAAGTCCCATAAATTTCAAATACGTATTTGGTGCCCGGATTTAATCCAGTCACCGTCTGCGTTAATGTCTGTATTGATTCTACAATCTTCTCACCATCTTTGAACGTTTTATCGTAATCCTTTGTTGCTGTGTACTTCACCTACACGATAAAGTACAACAGGTTCAGTACTAGAATTTGTTCGTTAGGATTTTGTAAAATGAATTTCAATTGAGCCAAAATCTTATTACATATCCATAAGTATTAGCAGCAAAATTGTACATCTACATATAACATCTCACACCAACAGTCAGTTTGAAAACGTGTCAATTATATATGGCATACATACGACTCATAATTACACGTGAACGAAATGTCTTCCAAAGAGAACAAATACGGTAATTCTAATCCAACTTACAGTATACTCAATTTTTCCCTTTTCGTCATCTTGTTTCCACTTCAGTGTAACGTTGGTTGTTTCAGAGTGGGTTGCTCTAAAGTCTCCTGGTGGTTCAGGTCCTTTAGTGTCATGTTATAAAAACAAAAAAGTTTAAGAAAATTCTAAAGTACATTTTAGAAGTTATCGAGTCAGTATACATTAAAGCAAAGATTTTAAATCATGTAATTGTAATGCATGTTAAAAGTAGAGAATGATACCAACTCAAAAAAAGGCAACAGAAATGGAAATCTAGTTACACTTTAATCAAATAGGGTTATGACAGAGATAAAACTGCTCTGACTTCGAATTGAACAATTTACTGAAGTCCAGAAAATGTAACAAGTGTTACGGTTGTTCAGAATCTGGAGTTGCACAGTTTTCTTTGTTTTTATTTTTTTATTACCTGGAGGCAGACACATTATAACGAACAGAAAAAGGGAAATGAATCGTTATTTACCGGGCAATGTAATTTAGGCTCCAGTTCTTTTGTACCATTTAAATCAACTGACTTCATCATTATGCTAATTACTTTTTGAAACAAATTTGTTTTCACTAATCAAGTCCCAAAACCAAGATAATTTTCATAATAATCTCGTCAATCTTACTTGACGTTTTCAGTTCCGAAGGTTCGCCATAGGGTCCAGACCCTGCTGCAGTGTAAGCTCGAACAGAAACA